CTGTGTATTCAATGGACACACAGTTTTCTCGATGAAGTGGTGAGTTTACTCCCTCTCTTTCGTTTTTTGCCTCGGTGTCGCCCGCCCCAATCAACACCAGAGAGCTGCGGCCGAATCGGTTGGTGGAGGAGCATATCCAGCGGCGCATCAGCAGGGAAGTCGACTCGTCTCGGGCAGGCCGCCGCGTCACGACAACGACTAGCGCTGCCGTTGCCTCGCGGCGTCGGCCACTCGCCCCCCACGCTTCGCATCGAAGGTGCGTACGTGTTAAGAGAAAGCAGTGCTGTTGAGGGTTCTCACGCCCATTCGCTTGGTGTGATTTGGTGATTTTTTGGGATTACAAAGAGAAGGTTTTGCATTCTCAGGGGTCGGGGGGGCGGTAGAGGTGGAGGGTGTTCCTAAGGAAGTGGTGTGGGGCCGGGCGGGAGGGTGGGATTGGTCGGCCGTACTCCCTTCCGAGAAAGAAAAGTATCGAACAAATGTACAACACACAAGAGCACGTGCTACGGCTAGGTCGGTGTGGGTATCATGCACGATCGTGGTGCGGAACTGCCTTGAGCAATCCGGATGCGAGTGATCGAACCGCTCAGGAACTTTTTTTTTTGTGTTTTGTCTTTCTCCCATCATTGGATTCTTNACGTGCTACGGCTAGGTCGGTGTGGGTATCATGCACGATCGTGGTGCGGAACTGCCTTGAGCAATCCGGATGCGAGTGATCGAACCGCTCAGGAACTTTTTTTTTTGTGTTTTGTCTTTCTCCCATCATTGGATTCTTTCGTCTGCCCTTCTGGCCCCTATCCTCCACTTCTACCAGCTAGACGACCCAACCGGGGTCACATTGGAGGATGGGGTTGGACCCCCTCCTGCGGTTCCTGCCTGAGATATTTTTATCGCGAGAAGGGTACAGCAATCCCTTCCCTCGCGACTTGTGAAGTCGATCACGTTTACTAGCAACGAGCTTTGCAGCGCGTCGCTTCCAACGGAGACCAGGATTTAATTAGCGAGAAAAAACGCACTCTGTCGGGACTCGAACCCATGACCTGTCCCTTAGCAGGCTGCGAGGCTACCCACTAGACCACCGGGGCGACCAGAGTGTGTCAGTCCTGTCTTAAGATGGGCTTGTGGGTGGGTGTCGTTTTATGTGGTCAAACGCAAGGCGTTCGCCTTTTAGAGAACGAGATAACACAGGTCATATTCAAAACTCGGTAAGTGATTTGGTGGATCCAGGGACCTATGCATCTTACTCCTGCTTTTGTTTCGTTTGTTCTGTGAGTGACATGTCCGTCACCCTTTTGTGTGTCTGTGTGCATAGGGAGTGAGGAAGACGACCTCGTGCTGCTTTCACTTGAAAAACATGTGGGTCACTTTTTTCGGCAAGTCTGGTTCTTGTGGCTTCATGGCTCGTCACACAATACTCCTTTGTGTTTTCAAAACCGATTTTTATTTGACAAACCACAGTTTCTTGCCTTTTTTCTTTTCTCACGCGAGTATTGTATCTACAACAACACAACCCTCCCGGTGCATGCAACTCTCTTTCTCGTCCTCTTGCGGCAGCATGGAACCAATCACGGACCACATGCGCAACGTGTCTCTCAACCGACCTTCTGAATCGACGGCGATGGCCGCTAACTCGACGGATACTTCCACTGCTGCGGCGGCGGCCACGACCACCGGTGACGGCGGTGCATTGGCAGGCGGGGGGGNGGGGGGGGGGGGGGGGGGGGGGGGGGGGGGGGGGGGGGGGGGGGGGGGGGGGGGGGGGGGGGGGGGGGGGGGGTACTCGTAGCCGTGCGTGCCGCAGTCGCAGTACTCTACTCAGCAAAATTGACGAAGCAAACATATGGGATAAATGATTTAATCCGTGCTTTGGGGTTAGGGTTAGGGATAGAGTCTTCGTGCCCCGTCCCTATTCTAGATTCTCGTAAAATCCTGCGCAGGCGGTCCCTCAGTCGTTAGGCCATTGACCCCGCATCCCTGCAAAGCCGGGACGGAGCGCGCCGCGTGTTCGCCGGACCAGGTTGTCGCAAGCGCNGGGGGGGGGGGGGGGGGGGGGGGGGAGGAGGGTAACTTGGGCTGAGGATAAAGCAAGAGACAGAATCGAGAGATAGCTGTACGGACAGATGGATAGAGGGAGGTACTGTAGAGAGGAACCAAGACGGTCAAGTCCAAGGTCACGTGTTGTCTGTCCAATGGTCGTAAAATAGTTGCATCTGTTGCACGGACAGGCGGCGGTTCGATCGTTGTTGCGTATGTGCTTTTGCCGAGCTAGTTGTAAGGCGGGGGCTGGGACGGCAGCTGACTAGAGGGTTGTGCGGCGGCGTGTTTGAGACGGACGTTGCCACTGCAGCTGGCGCCTCTTTCTGTTAGGGCAAGGCGATGGTGTGCTGTCGCAAATGAGGTCGTTGGCTCTTTACTCCGGATCTCTGCCGATATTGTGAAGGCAACGCCCACGCTAGAACAGAAACACCGCGTTGTGTTACTGCCAATGCCTCGGGTCCAACTCCACCTTCAAATGCTCCTTTTGTCCATGGCGGAGACTTGATGATTTTCTCCAAGCTTTGGCACCATCATGTCTCGCCAGGGGGCCTCTGTCTCCCACGCACACCCGCCTCCCTACCCGCCGCTGGACGAAACACAAGTGAACCAAACGTATTAAATGATAATATGCCGTTATTGTATGGAAACCGACCTCCACGGCTACCGCCGCCAATGTATCGCAACTGTTGTCACTCCATAGTTGTTGTAAAACCGGTCTCCACCGCCGCCGCCGCCGTTGAATTAGGGGGTCGCTGGGAGCGGGGAGGTACCCACGGGCGACACGGCACGAGCCATGGATGTCGAGGAGGGTCGCGGCAGTGCGGCTGCTGCCGGAGGTGCGGCCCGAGGTGCGGCCGTGGCCGCGGGAGGCGGGGGCTCTGACTTGGGCAACGGCGGCGGGCAGCGAAGCGGGACCTCGAGGGAGCGAGCAGAGTCGTCATCTTCACGCGGAGGGGGGCGTAGGTGAGAAATAGCGTGTTGCACCGCATCATACGTGTGTGTGCGGGGGGACGAGGAGGCTGCTCCTCTGGCGGTTTTTGCCCTGAATGTTGTCTATCTGCTGGTAGTAGGTGGTGTGTGCCGGCCGATGGATGGACATGGATGGACATGGGTGTGTCGTCCTGGAGAGAAGACAGACCAGTGTCGTTCTTTCCTGCGTCGCGTCGCCCCCCATCCCCCCCTCTAACCTTCCTCTTAGACCATACGATAACGTGGAGCTCGTGTCTTCAAGTTTTCCGTCCCCCTGGCCTCCCGTGAAGGTCGAACAGTACGACCGATTACTGCGTGTTATTTGATGCTTCGGTGGTACAGTAGTCGTTGTCGTTGTCGTTATCGTTGTCGTTGTCGTTGTCGTTATCGTTATCGTTGTCGCTATCGCTTGTGTTGTTGTGGAGGTGTTGCGTGTCACAGCTGTCACAGCTGTCACAGCAGTGGGTCATGGCCATCATGAGATCCTTGTCGCAGGCCGCACTGAAGCCGAGAGGGGCGCGCAGCGCTTGGATGGCAGCTTTCACGCTCACAATAGCACTTAATGCTCCTCGCTCAGTCCCTCTGAACCGATACCGGCATTGGCTTTGTAGCCCAAAGGTTGATTCGTCTGTGGAGGACGTCAAGCAAGTAACGGTGCTTAAGAAAGCCTTGTGTATTTTCTGCGCCCCCAAATACTCAAGTATCTCAGCATGACCCCCGTGTGTCGTGCTTGTGCAGTTTCGGACCTCGGCTGTTTTGTCATGCATGTGGCATCGTGACACTGTTTGGTGTTACCAACCCTGAGGATTTGCCCTCCCATACTTTCAAAGCGAAGGGCGGGGGGGAAGGGGGGCGGGGCGGGGCGTACTCCTATGTTTTGCACGCCTTAGCGGTTTAGACCATTGGCCACGCGTCCTCGAGAGGACGGAGCATTTTTCCCACAGCATCGATCACCGATGACCAACCGTTCCTTCCTGCTTTCCCAAAGGTGGCTCAAAAACGTCTTCCCCACGGTAGCCTATCTATCCTACCGATATCACTTACCACCTTGTCAACCCGCTTTCTGTCCCAGTGCAGCTACTGTACCCTCTTGTCCTGGCGATTCCATGCCTCAAATATTTCCCTGTATCTTCTTCCTACTTTCCCAGCACAGCCATGGGCACTTCCCAACGGACATTCCACAACTACATCAACCCGGTCTTGACACTCGAGAGCCGCATTCACATTTGAACTTGTCGTCTTCATCGTCTACGTTCTTGAAGGCCAATGTCCCCGGTCCTGAATTTGACCTTGGTGCATTCATTGGTCCATGTAGGTACTCGTTGCTATTCCTTCTTTCAACATTCCGTACAAATCTATGCATTGCAGACCCTCCATGCTTGATTTATACGGGTAGATTCTGTTTTCTCTCTCGGCAAAAACAACAGATATCCTCTCCTTGAACCCCTCAAAGTAGATCCTCTGTTTCCAGCGTTTCACCTCCGTCAATTTCGAGCTCCTTCCTTACGACATCTACAAACTTGACCCACTCCGTGGGTTGTCAACCCCACTTATTGTTTGCCCACTTCGCCGCCCGAATCATTCTCGGCAACCTCTCCTCTCGCATACCGCACATGCGGTAGTGCCATTTTAGCTTCCTTGTGTCGGGTGGGAGGGGGGGGGGCGTACTCTTATGTTCTGCATGTCTTAGCGGTTAGACCATTGACCACGCGTCCTCGAGAGGACGGAGCATTGTTCCCACAGGACCGGTCACCGATGGCCAATCGTTCCTTTCTACTTTGCCAAAGGTGGCTCAAAAATGTCTTCCCTAGTCTGTCTATCCTAACGATATCCCTTCCCGCCTTTTCAACCCACCTCCTATGCCCCAGTACAGCTACCGTCCTTTCCTCTCTATTCCATGCCTCAAACATCTCCCTGTACGTTCCATCTATTTTTCCCAGCTCAGTCACGTACACTTCCCTCTCCTTCTTGTACAACGGACATTCCGCGACTACATGAACACGGTCTTCGCATTCGAAGCCGCAATCACATTTGAACTCGTCGTCTTCCTCGTCTACCGTCCTATGTCTTCGTCGACGTTCTCGAAGGCCTATGTCCCCGGTCCTGAATTTGACCTTAAGCTTTGTTCCTGCATCCATTGGTCCATGTAGGTAGTCCTTGAACCCTATTCCTTCCTTCAACATTCCGTACACTTCTAGACCTGGTGGGAGGGGGGGGAGATGAAGACAACACCCGCGCGGAACCCCTTCGACATCCTTCCGGATCAAAACATTTTTGTGAGGAAGTCTCGTACCCGTTCTCCGTTGCAAGTAGCGAGGACCGACCGCCCGTTGCAGCCGAACACCGAACCAACCCACCCCCCACCCACCCCGCCCGCATCGAACCAATTCGAATACGGCTCAAACGAAGTTGACCCCCAAGGCTGTCCTCGTTTTCGCGCCTCCGTCTCTGAAGAGGCGCGCAGTCAGCGCTCAACTTGGTAGGGTACACACCCACACCCACGCGCCTTCACCAAACACACCCCGCCTGCTCGCTCGCTCGCTCGCTCTCTCTCTCTCTGTCCACTGTGTGTAGCAGGAGCCGGTCGAGTGTTTCGAACCACCCAGATCCGGCGGGGACGGTGAGCTACAATGCGGAGCACATAATCGGGAACGGGTCGTTCGGCGTGGTGTTCCAAGCCGTGGTGGTGGAGACGGGAGAGGTGGTCGCCATCAAGAAGGTGCTGCAGGACAAGCGCTTCAAGAACCGGGAGCTCCAGATGATGCGCATGCTGGCGAAGAAGGACCACCCGAACATCGTGTCCCTCAAGCACTGCTTCTACTCCAATGGGGACAAGGTTGGTGAAGGCATGTGTAGCTGGATTGGGTGGGCGGGCTTGTCGCTTGCTTGACGGTGGTATTTTTTAGTGCATCTGGAACACTCAACTCTTGGACGACGACGAATTTTCTGCGCATATATATATATATATATATATATATTTTTTTTTTGTTTCGAGGCCGTGCCGTTTTAACACGTCTGAAGCAAAGACCTCTCTCGCTCCATTCAAAAGCTGGCAAAGTCGTGTACACACAAGAACCTGTTGTAGGGACGCACAACGCCGTATAGTTTTGCGTGCCCCTCCTGTTTTTATGACGTACTGTGGTCCTGCCTTTACATGAACCAAACAACCGAGTTTTTTTACTCTCTCTCTCCTTCCAGACGGACGAGATTTACCTTAACCTGGTCCTGGAGTTTGTACCGGAGACGGTGTACAGCGTGGCGAGGCAGTACCACAAGAGCAAGCAGACTCTGCCGGTTCTCCTCGTGAAGCTCTACCTCTACCAGCTGGCCAGGGCCCTCGCGCACATCCACGCACTCGGGATCTGCCATCGCGATATCAAGCCGCAGAATCTGCTGCTCGATCCGCAGGTTCGATGATGGGTGTTTGAGGGTCATGGTGTGTGTGTGTGCGTGCGGGGCGGGGAAGTACAATGTACACTCTAAAAATCGATGACGCTTAGTGGTCGTCCATCGGTAGATGCTCCCCCCCGAAAGGCGAAACCTGTCTACTTTTTCGGCAGGAATATCGAATTTCCAAAGTCTCGCGGAAAGGCAACCTGTCCCCTCTGCAAAGGTGGAAGGGGTTCTCTCGGGTGTGTCTTGAAGGGTGCGGTGGCATGTTGTGGCGGAGTGCTTTAGGTGGTGTCACTTCCATTTTGAACGGACCTTGTCCACGTGTTGAGGGCTTCCGTTTTTGAAGCCCAGGGTCCTCCTGCTGCTTCTGGCGTATCGTGCCTCTTTTACTTTCCGATTGCTTTGCTTTTCTATGAAATGCGAAGACTGCCGTCTTGTGTTTCGCGAGGCTCGCGTCGCAGCATCGCAAATCAGGATATGCGTAGCCTTGAGCGCGATCGATTCGAGGCGAATCGATGTCCCCGCCACCCTCGAAACGGTGCCTGCAACAGCAACAGCAGGAGGCAGGTTCTGTGCTCGGTTGCAGGCGTGTGTCTTGATGTGCCCGCTGGACGGGTTGAAACCTCTTTTGCAAGCATGTTGCACTGCTGTCCATCACCGCGGTGTTGAGAAAGAATCGAGCACCGCTTTGCACGATACCCTATGTGTTTAGATGTCCGCCACCGGCCGTGTGTGGCAGCGGGACGGGAGTCAATCATGCCTTCTGAATCCGCCTCCCCTCCACCCCCGTTCTCGTTTTGCCGTGAAACAGACACACGTGCTCAAATTGTGCGACTTCGGCAGCGCTAAGATTCTCGTCCGAGGGGAGCCCAACGTGTCGTACATCTGCAGCAGGTAGGAAGAAAAGTCAAAGAAAAGAAGCTTGTTCTTTGCTCTGCCCACACACGACCAGATCGAGCGTGTGCGTGTGGAGAAGTCGGAACTAACTACACTAAACACCCAGCTTATCGGCTGCGAACCTGGGTTTGTTCCGTGTGTGTTGGACTTGTGGGCGTGCCTGCTCGAATATCGATGCTGAAGTTTATCCGCGTTTCCTACACGTATCGTAGCATCGGTGCCAATCTTGTTTCTGGTATTGCCAATGGCTACATACCATCATTTTTGGTTCTGCCCAGCCCGCGCCGCGCGCGGCGCAACCGGCTGTCGGTACGTCCCATCATAGATCTACATGACATGGCTGATGACGAACTATGGCGATCATATCTTCGGTTTCCCGTTGTAGCGACATCGTAGATACCGTTCATGTATATGCACGTTTAGTACTAGGTCGAGCCTTGTTTTGCAATCTGTCGCGTGCGAACAGATGCTGTTCCAGCAGTGGTGACTGCAGCACATGAGGAACAGGGATTAAACTCCCGTCTGGAACCGTCGACCGTGTCCGATCCACGCAAAAATGCGATCCTTAGTGGACTCCCCCCCCCCCCC